TGTTTGGCGGGTCCGGGCTGGGGATTCGAACCCGCCACCTTAGGTGTACGTGGCTGGCGCCTTAGCCGGTTGAGCCATAGGCGCCGAACCAAGGCATATATACTTAACAGAGACAAGATATTAATATTTCGTGGGGGGGGGGAACTCTGCAATAAAAACAAAATCAGTTTACCACATTAAGCTGAGGGATATCAAGACTGGTTTGTTCTTGAGGACTGGCTTAATAGGACAAAAATGTAACACACATCTACAGATGAGGCGAGTCTGCTATGAAGTTGCCAGAGATGGGCTACAAAACTTGTCTGATCTTCTATGAGTTACATGAACTGTTTTAAGGCAAAAGTAAACTCAGTTGTTGAGAAATTCCATTACTCCCAATTTTGGACATTGCACTTTTTTACAGAAATGAGGATAAGAAATATCATCATTAGAGATGACTACGACACAATACCAAATCTCTGGGGGCTGGTCAGAGGCAAAGACTTTGCTGATCTTTAACCTAGAGACAGACTGAAGGTCTTGTGCCAAAACAGGTGACAGCCATCTTAACATACTCAGAGTTGAGAAGGAAGATGAGCCCCAAGTAAGCATAAAGAGATGTCCTAGAAGAGATTTCCCAGACCTACTGCCTGGATGGGGAGGAAAGACTGATAAAGGTAGGAATTCTATATTCAACTTGGGGGTGATACAGATTCATTATAGCTTCTTTTTTTTTTTTTTTTTGAGACAGAGTCTCACTTTGTCATCCCTGGTAGAGTGCTCTGGCATCACTGCTCGTAGCAAGTTCAAACTTTGGGGCTCCAGTGATCCTCTTGCTTCAGCCTCCCAAGTAGCTGGGACTATAGGCACCTGCCACAACGCCCAGCTAGTTTTAATTTTTGGCTGGGGCTAGGTTTGAACCTGCCACCTCCAGTATATGGGGCCAGCACCCTACTCCTTTGAGCCAGAGGTGCTACCCGACGCCCGGCTATTTTTAAAGATGGGGTCTCACTCTGGTTCAGGCTGGTCTCCAACTCATGAGCTCAGGCAATCCACTTGCCTCGGCTTCCCAGAGTGCTAGGATTATAGGCGTGAGTTACTGCCTGACCTCCCTTATTGCTTCTTAAGGAAAACAAGTAGAAATGTGATTCAAATTAGTTAGACAACACATATAATGAATTTAGGATACTGGGTGGCATGATGAATGGGGTGGAGTAGGAAAGAAAGAAGAAATAGGAGGGCCAACTGAAGTGATCTAGTTATAGTATAGCTATGGTTTGGTCTGGTATAGAAAGGGAGGGAGGCAATAGAGAGGAAAAGAGTATAACCAGGAGTATTTCCAGGGAACCCAGCTTTGTATGACCAAATTTTCACAAGATACCTCTTCTTATCATCCCCCACGAGGGATGGGAGCCAAAAAATATATTATGGATGTTAACAGATCAACTATAAAAGAGATCAGCCAAAGGCTGGAAAAGTATGCTGATAAGATTAGAATTCCACTCAAGAGGAAGAAAATACTCTGTTCTGATGAAGATCAAACAGGAGTAGGGAAGGAACCCGATGACTAAAGAAAGACAGTAGTATAGTAAGATTTTGAAAACAGTAAACACCTAGGCTGATTTGTACACTGCCAGGGTAAGGAGAGACCTAGTTTCTAGTCAGTAAAGTTATATGAATTTGAATGAATAGAAGTATAGGTTCTCTTGTCTGCATATTGAAGGTTTCTATCTGATTTGTTACTTTAGTAGATGGTGACTGACCACTTAATCTCATAGAAAATAAAAATGGGTCTTTGTGACCTAATAGAAGGTGGATTACTAAGACAAAACTATCCCCGGAAATTCAGATAGTTGTCATGCTATATCCCATTCTACTTTTTTTCTAATTCCATGCTTACCCAATCATCTTCACTTTTCTAAGTACTTTTGGCCACTAGGAGGAAATGACTTAAGCAAATGACTTACATGGCATCTTTTGTTAGGCACATTTTGCTCTGTAAGTTAATAAATCAGATTAATTATCAAATTCTTTTGACTTTAGTTAATATGTATTTGTTCGTAGATACTTATCTAAAATCTTACATCCTTTCTTTTTAGTAATCTTACATAATTGAGTAAACTGGTAGAAGCTGGCTCCTAACTCAAGCAGGTTGCACAGCAGGAAGTTTACCTCGTTATCACAATTGGTTTATTTGCTACAGAGATTCGCTGTAGCTCAGACGTCAGCTAATTTTTCTGTAAAGGGACATACCTTAAGTATTTTAGGCTTTATGGGCCAAAAGGAAAAATCATGGATCTTATGTAGATAATTATGTAACAAAAAAGAAAACAGATTTCCAAGAAATTTTATGATATAATTCAAAACTGTATTTATGAACTGATGGTAAGCTATAGTTTGGTGAGCCCTGCTATCAAGTTGGAACTAAGAGGCAAAAACTTGGGATGAAATATCAGGAATACAATTTGGAAATCAGTACATTCAAAGCCTTAATATATGAGCTGCACAGCGCTGAGTAAAGAGCAGGTTATGCCAAAGCACTGAGGCTGGACAGGAATGAAGTGAATTTTGTGTACAAATAGCAAATAAAATACAGAGCACAGGAAGGAGTGTGATACAGAAAAATGGACAGGATAATAATCCAAGTGCCCAGCAAGCTCTTTCATTCTACTTGTGGTGACAGAAAATACAATCATCCATAATAAGATGTAAGTACAACCAGTAATCACAGATTTGCCCTTGACTCTTGAATCCCTGTTACTCAACTAATAATGCTACAGACACCTATGGAACAAGAAGTGGTGTGTCAAGGGGAAACTTTCTGAAAAAAGACTTTGAAATCAACTAAAAATTATTAAATGTCTTCCATGAAAAAATATATGGACTCTAACACAGCTGCCAGGATATTCTGACTCTGTGGTCTGAGCCTCTGTCTTCAAGCTATTTTGTAACTCAGTAAGTTGTAGAGTACAGATAACAGTGCAAATGATTCTTGTCCATAGTGGTGCAACTGTCTGGTGGAGATAGAGTTGATTATTGCCCTGTGGATATAGGTCAACTTTGCTTCCATTAAGCGTATTTCAGCATTTCTGACCACCTATGTGTCTGTTCTTCAGATTTTCCTCTGGCTATCTCCATGAATCAGTTATTCATTAATGAGCTAAAAAGAACTTTGTTTAAGTACTAGGATGTTAACTGTAGCAAATGTACATGTTTGGAAAATAAACAAATGTTTGATCAATATAAAGGACATCATTATTTTAGCAAATGTTTAACTTGACACTGTTCCTGATTAGCAACAAAGAAAGCCTAAAAGGATAGTGGTAGAAGAGTAGGGCAAGAATCAGTTAAAGACCCCAGATGTGCTTGCACTAGGTTCTGTTTGCAGGACTGTTAGTAAATGTCCTTAAGCTGAAAGACATTTTTACAGTGAATATATTTCTCACCAAATATCTTGGCGTCTTCCACACATCTCTGGGTTCGCCTCTTTATGTTTTCACAGTCAGCTATAGCTCTCTGATATCTCACCTGAACATCAAAAGAAAAGACAAAAGAATGAAAAAAAATACTTATTGGTGAAAAAGAATGTTTGTGCTCACCTTATGAATTTCACTCTTATGATAGGTTTTTATAAAACAAATTAGGAGCTGTAAAAACCTCTGATTGGCCACTTCAAATCCTCAGCCAAAGCAGAAACCTACTCTTTACCAGCCCTGACAATAATTTAGCCTGCTAGTTTGAACACAATAATTTTCAAATAGCCGGGTGTTGTGGTGGGCGCCTGTAGTCCCAGCTACTTGGGAGGCTGAGGCAAGAGAATTGCTTAAGCCCAAGAGTTGGAGGTTGCTGTGAGC